AGGGGAAGGAAGTTCCTCTAGAAATCCTGCTAGAATTTCAGAAATTTGCCCCTTTATTGTCAGCTGTAGAGAATGAAGATTAGAGCATGCCACAGCTCAGCCAAACAATGAAACAGGCAGATTAACTGCTGAAATGGAGACGCTGTTGGTCCAGAGATGGACAGTGCCCCTGACTCATGCCATCAGAGGAAGGAAAAAACAACAATAAAGAAAGCAGGGGCTATTTCTCAGAGTGCACCCCATGACTTCTGCCAGCTCATGCCAGGAAAGAAGGACACTGTACATTTTTCACTAGTGTGGGCAGTTAGAACCATAATTTGAACTTAAAAGGACCATTCACAGTTTTATTTACCAACTACAGTTTATCATGTGGAGAAAAAAAGCATTTCAATTTAATAAAAAACCTGATTAGTAAAGGAGAAGGAGGAGATATCCTTTGCAGGAGTGACACTTCTCTCCTGAAAAATGAGGGTTTATGTGTGGAAGCAGGAAGGATTTTCTCTAAGGGCTGGTATTTCCCTCCATGGCACTCACTCAGACCTTGCTCACACCATTTTGCAGGCACTTGAACACGAGGCTTAACAGGCTCAGGCCATTTTCAAGCAAACTGTTGGGTTCTTGCAAGTCCTGTTCTAATGCAAGTCAGGCTTCTACCTGCCTTCAGTTCCCTTGGCCCCAAATCAGCAATGCAAACCAAGGAATTCAAATACCGTCAGTTTGGGGAGAGGGTAGTGGTGTTTGTTTTTAATAACAACCAGTTATGGGTTGTTTTTCTCTGCCTTCTGGATCCTGAGTCTTTTAGGCATAACCAAGTCACACTTTCAAATTACTGGGGGCTTGGGGGTGCATTGTGGAGTTTACACAAACACAAGGACTAGAAATATGCTTTTGTAATGAAGCTAAAATTCTCAAGCAGTTATTTAATTCCCAAAGACCAGACACTAAACAATAAAAAAAATATCATTATCCTCGCTGAAAAAGACTGGTAGCTGCAAATCCCCTCCTCCTACATATTTCTTATTTACATAAAAGAAGTTTGACTTGAGAGTTGAGGAAAAGCAATCAGGATTTAGCCCTATGACTTAAAGAAACCGTCACTATTCAAAACCTGTAACAGAGGGGAAAATCACAAATCTATTTCTCCCAAACAAATGGGGTTTGCTTCAAGCAGATAGGAATCATGTGATAAAAAAATTTCAGGAAAAAGTCTGGATCAAAGCCCAGAAGAAATTCACAAACAGGTAAGGGTAGGAGAGCTTCTCTGCCTTGCTTTTGCAGGGCTTTTGAGCCCACTGCTCTAGTTAGGATGATGATGAAACACAGGGACCTGAGAGCAGAGGCAAAAAAGTAACCATCACCTCAGCAGCAACCTGGCTGGACTAGTCTGAAGTGATTCCTGCACCTGCGGGGAAGACCAGAACACGCTGGATCCCACATGCACAGGGTTGGGGTCAAATTCTCCATGTGCTGCCCTGTTCCACATCCTCCTGCAGAAGGCTGGGCTGGCTGAAAAAGCCAGAACATTTCAAACAACCTTAACACTGTCCACAGCTCATCAGCTGATTCCCCCAAGCCTCCTCAGGCTGAGCAGCACACATACACCTCCTGCTGGACCCGGCCCTCAGTTCAAAAAGCTGCAGCTACGGAAGAAAGGAGCCGAGTTCTTTTACAAGGCATTAAGTTTCATTTGCAATTACTTGGGATTTTATTGCACTACTGACTATAACAGGTTAGTTAACTGGGCCGGCAACATTGTACCCATATGCCTTTTTAACAGTGCTTTTCTGTTATTGTTTCCTTATTGGTCTTTTCCCTTTTGCTACATGCAACTGGATTTTACTGGCATCCAGCTTGTGCAATAGGTCCCAGGTGGCTCCTCTAAGAACCTTATTTGTTAATTTGACGGCTGAACCAGTGCATAAGGAATGAAAAATACTGAAATGCAATGCCCAAGATGCTACTTCACAGCAGTGGCAACAACCCAGGAAACGTTCCCCAGGGTAAGGTTGCTGGGTGAAGTGGAACCTTGTCCAGTTCATCCCTGGAAGCAAGACACTCCCTGCTAACACACCTACTTTTCTCTGCAACCAACCATGACTCCAGTAGGACCGAAGAGAGCTGTAACAAATCACCCCACGAGAGCCACAGTGTGCTGCAGGGGATGGAGTCGCAGGGAGAAAAGACAGGGCTCCTACTCCTGCAAGTGTAAACTTCAGAGCCTGCAAGACTTCAGTGTGCCTCAGAGACAGTCAAGAAGTTAGCAAACTGGGCCCTAGATTTGACAAGCCACGGTGTTTCCATAGAAAACGTCTTTTTTGTTTGTTTTGGTTTGGTTTTTGGTGGCAAAACCTCAAAAAACAACCCTGTTTCAGTCCAACAACTTTCACTCAGAATGCAATGACCAGGTTTTCAAAAGAACTGAGCACCCATCAGGGTCCACTCTGCTAAGTGCTTGAGCTGCTTTGAAAACCTGTTTCCCTGAACAAGATACCAGTAACTGATGGTTGAACACGAAGGACACACACTGTTCTCTTGCTCCTGCCTTGTTAAATAATGCAGTTCTTTCTACAGTGGATAAGTACTGAAAAGCCTTGTGGAAGTAATATATCTGAAGGAGGGATTGGAACAGAGAGATAAGCCTATGGTGGAGAAGGAACTCTACTTGCAGAATTCCATGTCAAGATTTTTTCCCATGAAAAATACCCCCACCCTTCATCAGAAATCTCAAATTATCATGAAGAAAATGTGTGTAAGAAAGGGCTTATTGTGATGGATACTCCTGACCTGGGGGAAAACGAGTGAAAGGTTTCAGGTTTTTGTTTGTCTTGACTCTTCATTTCAATGTTCTAATTTACACTTGGACAAGAATTGAAATAAAAATAGCAAAAATTGAAATTAGATGTTTCGGTTGTTCAGATCATATGTTGCCTAGGGCTTTAGGTCTTATGGTGGGGAGGGCTATTTTGTTTTAAGATTTTTGAGTAAAGACATCACTATCCCAATTTAGGAGATTATTTGATTTTGGCTATTTTTCTTGTGCTGAGAAATTCTCCCGAGATGGGAAATCATGGTGAGCTCTGTTCTAGACCCAAGTACAAGGAACAATATCAAAAGGCATCACCACCCGAGAGTACTTCCTTTTGCTGAAACAGAATCCCAAAACATTTGCTTTGCCAAGAATAAGAGAAAGAATAGAAACAGGATGCTCTTGCTGGGGTTACAAGCCATCATTAACAAATGCAACCTCGTCATCTCCCAAAAGAGAGCATCTCATGCAGGCTTACTGATTCGGGGTTGCTTGAGTTGAGCGGAAGATGCAACCCTGATAAACCACAGCATAGATGAGAAAACTTTACTTCTCCTCAGCACTTACCTTCTCGAGTTCTGATACTCTCAGGCACATGGTGTGACTCTTGGGGATGGTCCCGTGCAGGGCTAAGAGTTGGACTCAATGACCCTTGTGGGTCCCTTCCAACTCAGCATATTCTGTGATTCTGTGATGTTTTTCATTACATTATGTCACACAAAAGAGTAAAACACAGAAAAGGTTTTATCCAAGGAAGCCCTGCCCGGATACATTTCCTCAGCCCTCCCTACAAAACCCCTTCGTGCAACTCCTCACCTCTCCCCCTTCCCAAAGCTTAGGGGAGCCCTGTCAGTACCTTCTCCACTGGTGCCCTGGACAGTTGAAATAGTGCAGGTATCTCCACATGCAATTTGGCACCAAATCTGAACCCTTCAGTGCTTTCTGGAACACCCAGAGCTATCTTCAGAATCCCAAACAAATACATTAATTGCTTTCAATTTATCGGCCTCAAATCATTCTGTCTAATTACCATTCATCTAGAGTTTGTGTTTTTTTAATGGTTTATGGGTATTGTTGGTAATCTTTTAATTTCTCATTAAAAACAATATCTTGTACGCACTATGTGTGAAAAGCCCTAATCCGATAAATCAAGCAAGAGTAACACAGTTAAAAGGAAATCAGTGGAACAATATTTGGGTTTATATATTTCTGCCAGTCAATTTGTAATTAAAAGTTGCTACTTTAAAAAACACAGTTGTTGCTGTGAAAGCCATTATCAGTCGGCATTTTCATATGAATACTGCTTTAATTAATTAGCAAAAGTAAATACATTATATATCAAAAACCGCTTTCCCACTGAACCCATGCGTTCCAGAACAAAAGGCTTAATAAACCATACAAAAGAGGGACAAATTAGCTGATCCCACCCTCCCTTTTCAGGTTTAGAGTCTTTTAAAGTTCTCCAAGGTTTTTTTCCTCCCACACTTGCCTTTTTTTTTTTTTTCAATACATTGTTTGTTTTTCTTCAGAAGTGCGTATGAGGGAGAAGATGCTACACAAACACAAAACATGCCATTCAAACTAAATTATTTGGAAATCAGTTTAGCTGGTTCTTAGAAAACAGGAGTGTTTATGATTATTAAAACCCAAATGTAATTACGATCACATACAACACAATCCCTTTGGAACACATTATTTGCTGAACATTAAGGGGTTAGAATTTGATTCACAAAAGGAAATGATGTGTCTGAAGAGTTCTTTTGTCTAGGGGCATTCCAGAGACTGGAAACAGCAGAAGAAAATTCTCCATTTTCACTACCAAGCTGGAGAAAAAGTGTGGATGAGTGGTGTTGTTTCAGGTTAAAGCCTACAAGATAAGAACACCTTGAAACATCAATGGCATCTCTTATCTCATGGGCCTTTAACAAGAAACAAGGGTCCTGCCATCTGAGAAGCAAACAAATCACTCACCTCATCCCAGTCCTTTCCTGCTGAACTGCTGAAGTGCTGCAAGCAGGGTCCATTTGTGGGTATGGAGCAGAGAGGAGGAAGCATCTAAGCTGGCTGATGACAGTGGCCAGGGCTGGGGTCCCTCAAGACAATGGACTGTGGAAAGGTAACCCAATGGTGGGACCACTCACAAAGGTGTAGAATTTGACCTAAATAAAGAAACCAAACTCAATAAGGCTCTGTTTTATAGATAAGACAGACTAATTCCCCCAGTTTAATTACACTTACCTACAGAGCTGGAGTTCTCTGCACAGTGGTGAAGAGCAACTTCAGTAGGCTGAGCCTCACCACCTTTTCAACAGCATAAACATATTGGTCAACAGGTGAGGCCAAGGAGTGCAAATACCAGGCTAAAATAGCCCAAGACCAGCTTGGTTAGGGTTCTGAGCAACCTCATCTAGTGGAAGGTATCCTTGTCCACAGCAGAGGGGTTGGGACTAGATGATCTTTAAGGTCCCCTCCAACCCAAACCATTCTACTATTCTATGAAGTACAAGAGAATTCAGTGGAAAAAAGGAATTACCCAAGGGACAATTTTTTGCATCTCCTTTCCATGACAGTACTGGAGGTTTTCCACCAGAGGATAGTTCCAAAAATAAAGATCAGCACTAAGAAGATGAGGATATTGTATTGGCTAATTCTATGGCTATATTAAGAACCCATGCAGGCATCTAAAATTTCATTAACATAGGAGACCCAACAGTGAACTAATATAAAGGCTGTTCGCAGTCCTCCAAACCCCCTCCACCAAATTTCCTCTATTACCAGATATTTCATTTCCCCCATTCAGTCCTGACTCTCAGCTATCTTCTCACTTGCACAAGGTACTCAGTCTGTGAGGTCTCATTAGGTAGGTACCATTAAATCAAGCCAAAATCCCCCCAGCAAAGGGCACATTTCAGCAGACACAAAGGTGTCTGTGCAATGTGCAGGGATGAGACAACGTGGGGTGGGATATCACGAACAGCATTGTGCTGAGGGATGTTTCAGCACAGAAAAGCATGTGCCTCATGAAGGCCCTTTAGCACAGGCATTCTTTTCTCTTCGCATAACTGAATTGATTTTTATCATTGTTGTATTTGGTTGAGCCGCCCATCTGGAAAGTTCTTGCCTCCCCCGGCCCCCATAAATAACCAAACCCAGCTCTAACCAAAGGCAGTTGACAGAATGAGCCCCATTGCCCTTTGGCAGTTCTTCCAGGAATTTTTAGGGTTTTTACCAGTCAGGAAAAGGCTTTGATGCTTTGGAATCAGGATTTTATGAAGATCATTTTGTTGGGTTCAGCCAACTCATGAAGTGTCAAATGGGGGGCACTCTTTCATCTCATCACTGGATGGGGAAAAGATCCTCCCTCTTACCGGAATGGGGGCTGGAGAGGGGGGAAACTGAGAGATGAAGGTTCATCCATAGAGGGGAGGGTTTCTTTTCTCCTGATAGAGTCCACCCACTGCATTCCCATCATACTGATTGCTGCAGTCCTATCTGTCTGCTCTCCAGGCTACATCAGATAAGAGGAGAACTGCTCGTTCACTCCGGTTCTGATGCTGTGCTGAGGGGCCTCCCCAGCCGCAAGGCCAGGCTCTTCTTCACTTTCCTTTTCCAGCTGCCTTTTACAATGACTGCTGCATAAGTAGGGATGCTGTCAGGGAACCTGCCACAGGCAAAGAATGAGGCAGTAATCAAGACCAGCCTAAGGAAATTTCATCATCCACTTTGCACTTGCTAACGCCCACCTAAAAAAAAGAGAGCGAGAAAATCCCTGTACTTCCTCAAAATTTATGTGCAAATTCCTATCCAGCCATACCTGGGCTATTAAGGGCTTGGTTGCTATTTCCCCCTCAACAAGTCCCACCATGGATGGCATACTGATGAGCTGGGTCTGAAGCAGCTCCATTGCCTCAATAATTGCAGATATCACTTGTTCAGGAGCTGCAGTCACCAACTAATGTCTATTTGATAGAATTTAGGCTTCTGCAGGGCTGTGAGGTACACAGTCCATCTTCATGTAGCAGCTGATATCATTCCACTGTGCAGCTGAGGTGCACAACAATTGCTTGTGTCCTCTCCCATGGATGGGCATGGCTGCATTGCCCCAGTTTGCCCCAGTGAAAATATCAGCTTATCTGAGTATTTTGCTCAGGTCAAACTACTCACAAACTATTCCTGGCTAGTTCTGTTTGCTATGAACTGTCACTCACAGTCCTCGTGCACAGCATGTCTACAGTCATGCCAGTCAAATGCCAGTCCCTCTACCACAAAACCTGTTGAAGACCGTTCAGAACACTGAGGTGCTTCAACATTGAACTCAGATTCAATTTACAAGACTGTTGCTCCAAATAAGATGACTCAGATCTAACCTGGAGAATCTCATAACCTCAGCAGTCAAGAAGTGTTTTTGTGGGAGAAAGTCTGAGCAAGACAAAAAATCCAAGTTCTCTTGCTGGTGTACCCACTGGTTTAAGCTACATTCCAATCCAGCATGTTAATAGTACAGACACCTCTTCCTGCACCCATGGAGACTGTAATGATGTATTAGATAAAATATTCCAGTTGCTTTTGATTTCTTACAGGAGGAGAGCAAGCAGTAGCACCACAGTGCTCTGGCAAACACACAGATGCCAGATACACGTACTAGGAGAAGAGTGGAAACAGCAAGCAGGACATCCTACATCCAGAGCTTCCACTCCTCTTCTGCAAAGTAGAAGCCAGAGACAGTGTTAGCAACAGTCCCAGGGGAAATAACAGCAAAAAGGTCGACTCTGATGATACCCTTTATTTATCTTGCTTCATTCATGTTCACAACCAAATAGAGGCCAGATCAGGGTTCATCAAACCCAGAATCCAACACGAGGCACACAGACAGCATGAACATGGACACTGATGGCACAGGAGACTTCTCTTGTAGCTGCACAGTGTTGCTGAGGTTTAAGTGGGGAGACACAGCACAAAATGTTGTAAGATAGTCACATGCCTCCAACATATTGCTTTCCAGGGACATAGCCTCCACCACACCAGAGAACACGGAACAACTACTGAAAACAGCCGTGCAGTCTCACAGCCATTTCCCAGTCAACAAAATACCAGCGAGTTTCACTGGGAAACTGCACTTTGGTGCTCTTGCACCGGATAGGTTTCTATATATCGTGTCTTTTGGGTCTATTACTAAAGGTAGAAGGCTCAGGTACTTACAATGCTAGAGCAGGTCTGCCTCCAGTTCCCAGCTCTGTATGTATGACCTTGAAAAAGTCATTCAACTTTCCAATGGCTGAGCTGTTCAACTGCAAAACAAGGCTTTTTCAGCTTTTGGCTGTCTTGTCTGTTTAGACTGTAAGCTCTTCAGGGCAGGGACTGTCTCCTATTAAACGATCATAACTCTCACTTAATTAGGGTCTTCTACACATCCAGGGCCCTCACAAAAATGTCATAAAACAAAAGCTTTCTAATAAATTCTGGGGGATTCCAGATTCTGATCCAAAACTGCTCAGTGGTTTTCCCTGCTGAATATGGTGCCGAATCCCTTGTTAGTTTGTGTGTGTGAGGGGGGAGGAGGGAGACTATAATTTAAAGAGATTGCATAAAAGACCGTTTAAGTCCTTGTGGCTGTATATTTCTTTTAATTAGTTTATGCACAGTGCATTTGCATGGGAAGCTGCACAGCGTGTGGACAGACTTAATTAGGAGAACAATACGTTCCCTCTTAAGATAATGACTTGAGGATTATGAAAATTATTATTCCAGATCCATCCATGGGTCATTTGAGGTTCAGTATCCAGCGAACTTTTAAAATGCATTGAGGTCAGCAGTTTGGATACTGTCAGTAAAGTCACTTGATTTTACTGTTGCTTGAATGATTAATTATGAACAGCAGTTGCAGCCATCACCCAAGTTACACAATAGCCCGAGGACTTGCTGCATTTCACATATGCCATCAGCTACTCTGGAGGGACAGATGTTCTGAACAGGGCTGTAAGATCCACTGTACTGCCAGCAAAGTCTCTTTGAGAGCTCTCTCCCCCACTCCCAGCTCCTTTTCACCCATCCTTTGTGGTTTTTTCCCTGGCTGGGGAGGCAAGAAATTTCTGTCTCTGCTATTGAATCTTTGTAGCTGGAGAACCATGACAATTAGGTGAGAGTTTTAGGACACAGGTCAGTCCACGTAAATTAAACACCACCTATCCCCTTTTAGAGCAAAGCACCACTGACAATTGAGCTGGAGACGTCACCTGAGTACATCTCAGCTTAACTCGTAGTTTGGTGGGTCCTGAAAAAGCATTTTTCTGCCTCTCTCCAAAGTCCCATCCACTCTTAGGAAAGCATGATTGTTTAAGAAGTGTTCCTGCATCTTATCATGACAGGTAGGAAAACAGTCCTCTTTGAAAGAGCTTCTACAGGGATTGTATTTCACAGCCTACTCAGTTCAAATAAATTGAAGCACCCATCCTGCTCCCCCTCTTCAAAAATGGTTGCCATTGGGGTAAACAGCCTCCTAACAGCAACAGGGCACTCTGGAGCAGGGCAGCCCTCTATCCCCAAAGCTGCACAACTCCAACTGTCAGGGCTATGGAAACTACTATCCTCAAATTTGAACCACCAGGTGCAGAACAGACAGTAATCCCATCTTTCACCTTAGAAAGAAGAGACACATATGTAGGTGATGAGAACAAGGTCAGCTCTTTCAGCATCAAAACCCATGACTCATTTAGAAATCACAGCAATTGCACCTTGAGTATCTATTCCTTCCTCTTCCCTACAATGATAAGACAAGTTTTTCACTGAAATGCAGTGACTGAATTAAATCAGGATTTTTAGTAGCAGTGACAGCAAAAGCTTGGTGAAATAATTATGTATGGTGTTGCTTCTAGAGCTGAGAAAGGAGCAGTTCTGGAGGGACGAGGACAGGACATCTTCAGTTCTTCAGACATCTTTCAGTGCCTCCCCCACTGAAAACCTTGGATTTAGGGCAGGTGATTAAAAATCAACATTAACATCTGGCAGGGCGGGGAGAGTTGGGTTTGAAGGAGAAAAAAAAAAAAAAAAGAGAGAGACAGTGGAGGAAAGGAAATTTCAGAGGGTCAGTGATTACATCCCTCACACTTTGTGTATCTTCTCCAAAACTTCAAACCAAGAGAAAGAATGAAATGGCATCTCTATGCTCACACAGGCAAAGGTAAAAATCTGTGACTGGTCTCATTAGCAATAACATTCCTCCATGCAAACCAGCAGCAGTACTGTGCAAGGGAGCTGAGCTCCTGGTGCAGACAGACCACAGGAAACAAAAGGATGGGCCAATGGCCTGCTGGCCTCCTCTCAGATGCAAACATGCCCCTGTGCTTTCTGCCTTCACCGTTTTAAGGCTTCCTGAAGCCTCAGAAGGTGCTCTACAGAGGGCGAGTACCACAGGTGAACCATAGAAGCTGACACTGGCAGCAAGACACAAGGCTGTGCACAGGCAAGGGGCACAAACCCCAAGAAACAGCTCAGCAGCAGGTCCATCCCATTACACTTATGGTCAGGGAGCCCAGCAAGGTCCAGTTACTGTGGAGATGAGAAGTGGAGGAAAGAAAACAAAAACACTATTAATAATGGGATGAGGAGAGAACAGCTCCTCAACTCTGCAGGGTCAATAGACACACTTTGTGAGCATCACCCATTACTCACCCTCTGTTGTTGATAACATGGCACCCAAAGCATGCTAGGAACTGTGCAGGGCAAACAAAGATGTCCCTGCCCCGAAGAGATTACAATCTAATTCTGATTTTACAGTCATATTTCAAAAGCACAGTGAGATCAAAGTCCTGCTCTCCTCCCTCGGGCAGTCATTCTCTCTGGTGGAATATATCTCGATTCATAAATCAGAGAAGTTGGATGTCTCAGTGAATACTGCCATTCAGGACACAAAACAGAACATAGAGATGCCAAAGGTAGGCCTAACATCATGTTAGTGCTCAGCAGAGTAATCTGGGGGTGCAAGAGAAGGGGAAACATACAGCAAATTATTATTTTTCCATTATCAAAGTAGATGCTTGTCCAGCTGCAGCACAGACAGCAGTAACAGCACATGACAATATTTCATGACACTCTAGAACAGAAAACGTAAAAAAGAGCTCATTCTAGAAATTAAACGAAACTTCAGGAGATGGTAAGTGAGATGGTCTGAAAAAAACTTGAAAATTGAGACAAACATCAGAGTACAGTAATGGCCATTTGGGAAAGGACACTGAACTAAATGAGCAATCCCAAAGGCAAATCCCAAGGTTCACTGTTTTCTGATTTATTCACCGATAGTACCAGTCGCATCAGGACACACTTAGGCACACAGGAGTAAAGACAGTTGTTTCCCAAGCACTATCCCCACTGCAACCTCTAAAGGTTTCCCCTCCAGAAAAATCTGCAATTCAAACACTAAATTTGCCCCTGAACTGCTTAATCTGCAAGCTCCAGCAATCTCCCTGCAATGGGGTGCACAGGCAACAGATGTTCAGAAACCGAGCTGGCAGTTTGCACACCTGAATGTGTGACTGGGAGCAAGACAGAAAGGATGCACATTGCCTGGGAACATCTGATAACGCCGTGCCCTTCAGAGCCTGCACAACGGTGAAGGGGCAGGAGCGAGGCTTAGAAATAACCAGAAGCTTTCTTCTTCTTCCATGAGTCACTCCTGCTTCAAGGAGCTGCAGCTTTGATTATTAACTGGGCTAGTCAGCTAGATATTTAAATGATTCCCAAAAGTCATTAAGAGCCCAATCAGATATGCAGTGCTTGACTCTAGCACAGGAATGCAGAGAGGGAATTATTTGCATAAACTATGCTTTAGAGAAAACCTCCATGTATTTTATATTTCAGGGTATGGGGGAATCTGATTTAACTGAGTTAAAGAGAAGAAAAAGAAGCTTAAGCAATTTAAGGGACCACATTAAACATGGAAGAGAGAAAAAAAATAAAAACATCAGCTACCTCAGGGATTAGGAATAACAAAATACAATGTCAAAGCGCTCTTCCTCTCTATTCTCTAAGCAACAGGCAGCTCCCTTAGATTTCCTCTGACTTTTCAGAGAGAAAATTTAGCCTTGAAGTCAAAGCACTGCCAAAAGCTGCATGCCTGATCAGAAGATCTCATAACCCTTCTGTCCTCTGTCCCAGACTGACATCACAGAGGTGAGCTGATGCAAGAAGTGATGAACAGACACAGAAAGCTACATTTACTGAAATGTAGCTTTATATTCACCTAGCCTTCACACCAGACCCACGACACAGACTCTTCCCCAGCAAAAACTTTAAGCAAATCTGTAGAAGATTTTCCAAATCTTCTGTGGAATTGTTTTTATAGGAAATATGGGGTGGCAAAAAACCCACAGCATTTGGTATCAGAAGATAATACCAGAACAGAAAGCAGTACCAGAGCAGGGGGCACCTTCAGAGGAAGGCAGAGGATCATCTAACCCAGCTGCAGCTTTTCTGGTGGTTTGTAACTCACCTCACATCTGTGTTACACCCAACCTCGTAGGTAGTTCCTGCCACATCTTGCACGGAATCCAGCTCCTGGGATGGGGAAGCAGCACAGGGCACTGTGCAGGGGCTCATTCAGAGGAATCATACCTAGTACATTCCATCCTTCCTGCTTTAGGTTAAAATCAGAGCCATGGCAAGCAAATCTCTCCCATATCTGCAAAACAAAACCAGATTCAGGGTGACTGGAAAGATGAACTAAGCTCGAAATTTGTAACAAAACAGGAAGGTAAGACAAAAGTGGTTCTTACAAAGTTTTGTGGGGGACTATCTCTTGAAAAGCAAAAAGCAAGCAGCAACTCACTTCCTAGCCCTGCTTTTCAGGTAGAAAACTGTATTCTCACATGAAGTCAGTAACCAGGATAACCTGAGGCTGGTTTACCCATCAGTTCCCCCATCTGTACAATAGGGGTTAAAGTATTTTACTTTCTTCTTTCCATCAAGGAACGGAAGCTGACAGATTAAACACACTCGCACCTACAAAGCCTTCTTCAGAAAGAAACTGCCATAAGGAGGGTAAAAACATATTGTTACTGCGATTAGAAACCAAAGTCCTCCTGTGCAGTTATTTAATTAAACCATAAATACAAACGGATAAGTGACTAATGAGCCAGCTCTACGCAGTGTATTTATATTCCTCTGAAAAAGAACAATCCTTAAACTAGTTGCAAATAACAGTCCTCTCTCCCAGCCTGGTTTTCCCTGCAATCAGGAATCAGGCCGCACAGTAGTTTGCTGACAAATTGGTTCATGTTATGAAGATAATGAAGGCATCAAATTACTTTGCACTCCTTCCCCCTGGAAGCAGCAAGGCTCTTGCAGAAAGCGATTGCCAGGGTTTTATTTGTGCATGCATGTGTGTGTCATTTGTGAGCAGACAAGCCCCAGAGGCCTGTCAGCCAAGGCAGGATGGCTCCAGTCGCCGCTTCCTGGCAAAATCCTGGTGTTGCACTGTGACCTTCTGGCTGTGCGCTTGTCGGCGCTGCCAGGGAGGCGACCGTGGCAAAGAGCCACAGCCCCTGAACGGTGTTTCCATCCTCCAGTGCCCTCAGAGATGCTCCAGGTTGTTCTACGAGAGCTTGCAAAGCTACCAGAACCATTTAGTGATGTAAGGGCAGCTTTTCTCTAGGTCTGATACACTCTGCTTTCCAGGAACAAAGCCTAAAGCAGCAGATCCAGCAAAGCACTTTACCAAGGAGTTGAGCAAGGTCATCTCCAGAAGAAATAAAGTACTTGGCTGGATCACAACCCTTCTGGATGCTGGCTCTGGAAGTTTTTCTGTTTTTCCTTCCTTTTCTGCCCAGTAAAAGGAGGTTTAATTCCTTCTTTGGAGATGGTTCCCTAAACTCAGATTTAGAAGGACAGCAGAGAAGAAAATATTCCCATCCTGAGCTGGTATTAATAAGTATACAAATAAATTTGGAACAGGTAAGATTTCAGCAAACTGGATCCAAACAGCTTTTCAAAGCCCCTCCAGCCACTATGAGCATCAACAAGCTGAGCAAAGCTCTTTAGTGATCATAACAAATGTGTCAGGCTTTACCCTGCAATTGATTCGCTTTTGGGAACATAAGTTAAGCTTTAAATCTATATTTCATATATAATCAAGCAGCCAAATCGGCCTTTTGATATAGAACCCAGACCAGCCACTGTGCCTTTATCTCAGAAAGCAGGAGGCCCAACAAAGCTACAGCCAGGGAAGTGACAGTTCTTCATTATTATCCTCCCTGATCGTGCCCATCTTCTCATCTCCCCTATCAAATTTCTGGGCCTTTTTGATAAAAAATAATTTAAGAGTGCGCTCCACAGGAAGCACACGAAGGTTACAGATTGAGCAATGCCTGGGAACCCCTCTTTAAAAGGTGCAACCAGGAAAATGCCTGGGAACGGGAGCTGCATGGAGCCCCTGCCAGCAGCACAAGAGCAATGCCAGAGTCAGACGTTCCAGGAGACCTCTCCTTCCCTCGTAGTTACCAACATCACCTTCTGCTGACAGAACCCAAATGAGGAAGGGCTTTTAAGCCTCACTGCCTAGGCACTCCTTAGTGTTGTTTTCTTCCCTCTTCCTCCTGCACTGCAAGCTTCCCAGAATAGCCCTCTTCCCCACTATTGGGTCAGGCAGAAGAACATTGATCTCCAACTGTTTCTTCTGAAAAAACACTTAGTTTGGGTTGTTTTGGGGTTTTTTGTTGGTTTTTGTTGTTGTTTGTTTGGTTTTGTGGATATTTTTTTTTTTCTGACCCAGGTATTCTCTTCAGCAAAGCAGTTTTCCCTGTTGTTTTTTTTTTTTTCTTCTTCTTCCTCCCCTCCACTTTTAAACTGTTTACATAACAGTTTTCTCCTGCTTTGTTGGGCTTACAGTTTCATGTTAGAAATTTGTTAGCAATTCCAGCTTTAGCTTTGGGGATTCCCTTCTGACTGCCTTTGCCTTGCAGTGTGAAATTGCTCTCCACGTGCTGCTGCAGTGGTCCATGACATCAGCCTGACTGGGGCACTGATCCACTTAGCAGGAAACACCCAGGATACACAAAAGCAAGATTTTTCTTCTTCTCCTGCAGTCGTATCAGTTTCCTGAGATATTCCACTGCACCACCTTACAAAACCCCATGGTCAGCATCTAGTGGATGTCTGCTGCAGGCTGGAAATGCCCCCAGACCGTGATGCCAATAAGAGTTCTTCAGATAAAAGCAGGGCTTGCCTTGGCTGGCTCATGCCTCACTTCATTCTTCTGCAAGTGAACTAGAGTGCAATGTCTTTGGGTCAGCAATTACATTTAATTATAAAGAGCTTATAAAATACAGACATTCTGATAAATCTACGTTTTTCCTTTAGATGTCCCTCGTGGGACATCTCAGATTTAAGCTTCCCACAAGGAGCAAAGGAATTTGAGGATTTGGCTTAGATGCGTTTCATAGCCAGCCACAGAAATGACAAAGGATTCCACCCTCTATGAAAGATGAAATGAATTTATGTCCAAATTCAGTGTTTAGCCCTCTGTGAATGCTCCACAAATCAACGTGTTTTTCACTTGCACAAATAACCCACAAATCAACATGCAACAGGAAATTTAGTGTGGAGGCTGGCACCTTCATCCATAATTTGCACTGTCAAAGGGAAGAATAGGAGGAAAAGACCTAAAGGGCATATTTTTTGTATCTGGAAAAAATTGGACAGAAGGTTCTGCCAGTCATTCACAACCTTATTCCACATGGACCACATCTCTGTTACAGACCAACACACTACAGCACTCGTATTCAATGGGCTGCATTCACAAACACCAGTCCCTGAAAGCCACATCAGCAGAAAGACATGGATTTCTGAGCTTATCTATTACTTCTCGTGCCAATTTCCCACCACTGCAATTTGCTTCCAGGCCAGCACTTAAAATGGTGTTACTTTGCAAACTTTTTACCTTAGAATAACTATGCAGTGCTGGAGTTAAAAATTCTCCTCGAGATACCAGGTGGCAACACTATAATGCCTTTCCCCTGTGTTGCAGCGTCCCACCACAAAGGCACGAGAAAAAGATATTTTTCCCCTCTATGAGAAGTAGTTTAATTGCAGATTATTATATTGCAGAGGAACTACACTACAGTTTGAGCCTTGCCAGATTCAGCCCAGATTCTTTAGTTAAACAATTTCACAAGATGTGACAATTTCAGCACTTCCTACGCCCGGAGCAAAACCTCCTAACCTGATATTCACAAAGGAGTGGAGTTTGCTTGGCTGTTGAAGGTTTTCACAGGGTTTTGTTTTGGTTTGGGTTTTTTAAGCATATTTTTAAAGCTTTGCCTTGAACTACCTTGGAAATGGGTAGTTTGGCTGATGGCTAACACCTGTGAGAGGGTGGTGGCTCTGAGGTTTTTCCAGTTCAACCCAAATGGTTTTCTAAAAGATATAAGCCATAATGATCACAAAGGTATAGAGTCAATTAGCAATGTACAATTTTCTCAAGTGATCTGGGATTTGGGGAATCTCCATTTTTAGGTTACTGATTTCAAACATTTTAAAATAATCTAGTTGCTTATAAGGGCTATTTTATGGCACCCTCTGAAAGGCACTCCATACCAAAAACCTAAAAATTGACCAAGTACCCAAAATCCCTAAGAGTTGCTTAGAATCTCAGAATGATTACAGGGGATATTTTGTTTTCTTTTTGAAATAGATAGTACTTATGGCCCATATATTTCTATTTCCAATGATTTGACACATCCACTCAATACACCTCCATGCTGTCCCTGCAGAATATTTCACTTTTTCAGCCCCTGCAGCCTCTCCCCACTGCACCAGCACTGTTTCAGGTCAGGTATATTCATGAAAAAGTCTGTCAAGAGCAACACACTGAAGGGTCTTTGCAATGTGCCCAGTAGGATTTCTTACCATATAAAGCCATGAAATTCACTTCAGCTGAAATAAAACAAGGAAAGCTTGACCTTGAGGCTTCCAACAGCAAAACAGGCAGGGGAAACAAACAAACAAAATAACAAAAACTAAAAGCAAATACTACTTGCTTGGTCTTGCTGTTTACATGTAACCAGCACACAGGACTGCTCTGCTCATGGTTTGTTGGAGGCTTTCTGAAAAAGCCAAGTGCTCAGAATCATTATACATGGCATTTAGTCCAGCATTAATTCCTCTCCTACGTGTATGATTAAAAGGTACAAAGGCCATTTAATTAGCACCTCGTATCATGCCCTATAACTTGCAGTCATCATCTGGTAGCAACCAGACAGAGCCACAAACGTGCGTACACATACACCCACAGAGGCACACCGCCACCCCCCAGGAGCACGAGTTCCTCCTATGCAATTATAGCTGGGTGCCCCCTAATTCTGATCTCTTGAGCATTTAATGCGTTTGCTCTGGGGTCTACACAATCCTGCTCTAATTTTGCCAGGGGCCTTTGTATCAAAGGCCTGAGCTGTGTGAAAGGTGATTTAGCAGAGATGGTGTCGGTGATTATTTTCAAAGGAACTGCTGCAGCCCCACCACGAGGGACACTGCAGCCTCCAGATAGGGGGCCCTTATCATATTTTCTATTCTCAGATAAGATTATGTTTCCTTTTTTCATCCTCCTTCCTGAATCTTCTTGATAACAATTGGGGGCCAGTTTAATCACGGAGGTTGAAATAACCAAAAGCGTTCCTAGGGTGGTGGTGGGGAGGGCAGGGAACAGGGCCAGGTGGGTGGGGAGGAGGGAGAAGCCTCACTGGTCGGAAAAGTTGGGTAAGAGCAACTGAGAAATAAAGCCAGCAGAAACAGGGTTATTTCAAAGGGAACAGCTGTTAAACTGCAACCAAACAAAAAGCACATGCAGCCAGTGTTCTTGTGGTTGCCCATCAAAAACAAGAACAAAACGAGTTGTTCACGCGCCCATTCTGTGGTCTAAACAAATTAGAGTGAAAACGGGACCAGGACAGGGAGATGGATGACCTCAAAACAATGGGGACAGGCCCTTTGTTAAACAGCTCTTTCTGCTGCTGGTAGGGGGTTTCTAAACACTAATAATATCTTTGTGATAAGATGAATCACTGGGGCATGATGTGAATTGGTTCCAGGGAGCCGACCCCGACCCCTGGTGTTTGAATCTACTTGGAATGAGCATTAGAGACAGAAGAGAGCAGTGAGTGTCCTGTGTTACTGCCCTGAAACAGGATTCAGACACGGATTTGGAGGGGTGCAAGGAACTCTGTAGCTCTGGCCAAGACTGCCCATTCCAGGACAACAGAGTAACGTTACAGCATGGTGAATTCCCTGGCACATGTTCCAGGTCACGTCGGTCAGTACTTGAATGAGACTTTCTAAGAAACACGAGGCTGAGCTACTCCACAATGACACCATGTCCTCCAAGTCCATTCTGAATCAGCACCCTAAATGTTGCATCAGAAGGTGCCAGGCTTAGAGAGTGGCAGTTAAAGGGCAGGAGGTGGGATGGGGAGATAACATGTTTCAGATGGGTTATAAATCAGAACTGTTCATCGCCTGTTGCTGTTAAGCACCCCCCTCCCATTTTTCTCTGTTGCAAAAAAAACTGAAAAATCCCATTCTGCCTTGGCAGCATTACTCCCAAACAACCCCTCAATCACCAGTGTCTGTTATGTCAGTGCTTAACATCCCCACATGCCAAACCACAGGGGACTGTTGGCCCATCCCTGTGCAAAAGGAAACTGTTCCGACCTTACGGACCCTTTGCAGTGAGAGTTAAAGTGTATCTAAGGCACCAAAGAAACTCTAGAGGCATGTCCTGATTTCCCATGTATGGAATCTTTCCTTGGTGACAGCCTGGAAAAGATGAAACCCCTGAGACATTACCACCCCAATACAACACTGGTAAGGACTGGGCCAGCAAGAGCTATTCTGACCCCAAGCCCTGCTCAGCCCTAACAAAAATGTCTGTGTTTCCAACTGCAACATTTGGAGGCACCTAGACCTGCCTATGGATCAGGTAACATACACCAGTGTTGGTTCCTGACATCCATTCTGTAGTCAAGTAGGGCTGGGCTGCACATGCCCATTGTCCAGCTTTTGGCCACTCATGTCAAAGGTATGTTCTCTCCTGAGCCTGGCCTTTGAGACCAGAAACCAACCACAGACCCACCTTCTTCCAGTGACAACCAGTCCCAGCTGAGCTGCCAAAGCAGAGCACTTGTCCTCGAAGATACTCACATGCAGAGTTCAAAGCCAGGCCTCTCTGACTGCAAGGCAGCGGATGGCAGCTTACCACAGAGTTCCTGGTAATAAAGTCTATTTGAAGACTCTCAGTGAAAAGTGTGTTCCTAATAGAGGATAACATTTCATGGTCATTATGCGATACACTTAACTTTAAAAGGAACAAAAATGCTGAGAAAGTCATTTTCTGAAAAGGGCTCTCGGATTTCATTACTATGGGTCAAGTGCCTGGGGAGAAGAATTAAAGAAAAACACGAACTTGTGCACAAATTAATTAAAGATATTTCCACTAATAAATTGTCCCCATATCCCAAGGCAGAGCCTTCAGTTTGCGAAATGTGGTAATATTCAAGTTGTGGTTTTCTCCACCAGGCAAGCGGTTCAGCAACATTTAAAATCAAATGGATAGAGTTGGGGATGTGGAGTTTGGGAATGGGAGGGGGCTGCTTTCTACTTCAGCCCATATAAAATTTACGGTATTTTAGTACATTTCTAAGAAAAAGAAAAAATGCATTGTTATACCCCAAGACCCCCAAACCATGATTACCTTTTAAATTCTCATTTTCTTTGATGCAGTCAATTTCTCCAAATAACATCCCCTCCTCCACATTCTTCCACCAAAATTGTGAAGGACTGCTCTTTTTGATGCAAAGACAGTGCCAGTTGCTGTAATATGAGGAAATTGCAGCATAAGGAGAAAGAAAACAAAACAAAAATCCCAGAAGGAGAAACAGAATTCACTGTCAGCAACTTTGAGGAGTGGGCCCGGTACAGCCCAGTGTTAATGACCCCCTTCCAGCTGCAGGAGAGGCTGTATTTAAGCAGCTAAGAGCAACAGTGGGGTGGCAGCTGAGCACCCTGGGGTCTGTGCTGTTTGCAGTACATGGCCAAAGATTTTTTGGTTGTCTTGAGAGGCTTAATAATATACAGGTCCACTTTCAGGGCAAGGCACCTCCAGCTGAAGGTCCTGGGCTGTGCTGAAGCTGGAATGCATCACTGCATGGAAATTGTTGGCTTGTAAGGTGGCTCACACAAGGGGTAACAGCTGCGTGCCTCTCTTCTCACTGTTCCCTGTAACAACTGAAGAAAACTGAAGCTGAACTTAACTTTTATTCCTGCTCTCCCATTTTGTGGTGGCGTTCACTCAGAGAAAAGGGAGGTGAGATTTGCAATCCTTTTGCAGCCCATCTTCTGCAAAGACCACCATGGTCTTAGATCACTATTGGTCTAGTGAGAGATGGGAAGAATTCACTCTCCAAGGAAGGTAACCAACAAATCAAAAGAATGAATCACAAATACAGCTAAATATTCCTATTCTAAGAGCTGGGATAGTTTGTTTGGTTTGTATTGACCTGATCCCATTTGAACATCCCTGTTCTCACACTGATCAGGGGCTGAAACGGAAGGAAACAGTTTCAAGCTTCTCTTTCCTCTATTTCCCCCCCCCCCCCACTTAAATTTTACAGGCACCTGAATCTGATCACAACTTCCTCTGTCCAGTGTAAAGTTTAGTCTGAGAGAGTGCACATACCACAATACGTTGGGATAATATTAATGTATAGTATTTGAAGCCCCAGGGCCTGTATGTTTCATTAATTTCCTCCCCATTAAAGTAAAATGAGGATATCCTGTAGAGAATTGCAGTGAACCATTCGGACTGTGAAACTCGTCCTGACCCTGCTAAGAAAAACAGACAGAAGAGGAAAGAGCAGCTGATCACAATATACAGCCACCCAAACGAAACACAGGGGTTCCTTGCTCAGCCCTCTCTGCACTACTACCGTGCAAATATTTAGCTTAACAGGATGTGAAGAGCTGGTCAGCAAGCATTAAAAAAATACGCACTGATTTTTATTTGTTTAAAATGCAAAACATTTCCCCTACATTCTTTGCAGTGCATTAACCTCAGGCGCAATTTCCACTCTGGGATTGAGCAAGCCAGGGACCTGGGTTGCACACGAATAATTCAGATTACTGCATCTGTTTGTGTGTGGTTGGGGCATGCATACCGATCCTTGCTCATTAACCCAATGCATCCAAGCTCTGCCAAACCCTCGAGGGTTGGCATCCTAAAGAGACCGACTCTTCCAACACAACTGGCCGTTGTGGTGCTTGACGCCAGACTGTGAATGGCTCTGTCAGGTTTACAACAGATCCAGCAGAGCCCAAGGCCTTCAAAAACACAGTGACATACACCCTCCTCTTTGTCTTTCCATCTTGATTTAGCTTTTCACCTGGACCCCTCTGACTCCCTTTATCCTTGGTCCTCACGCCCCACCACAGCTCACCTTTCCCTCAACTCACTCTGGAACGACTAAAGGAGAAAACTTTCCATTTTGGACTTAAAGCACAGGTGTAAGCATGTGGATTTCATAAGCAGGAATGGTTTTTTTGCAGAGGACAAGAGCAGCCATTCAGCCACAGTTCAAGTTCTACCAGTTTCCTTTTTTCATCTGTTTCAACCAGCTCTGCCCAAATGCCTGAGCTCCACTGCTCCATGGCAGCCGGTGCGACAGGCAAGGTGGGAGGCAAAGCTGTAACTGCTTTGAATATCCCTGAACAGGTGAAGAGACCCAAACAGAGCTTGCTGCCTTCATTCTTTGGCAGGCACCTACCTTGCTCTGCAGGTTTTCCTATTTGTCCAGCAATCTTCAAGTCATGCCTGAAGTGATCCCCAGGAAGGCAGGGTGAAGCACTGGGAGCTTGGGATACTTGCCACAGACTGCACAGCCAAGGAACCTGCACATAAACTTGCAGTTGTCCTGGGAAACCAAGCACCCAGATTGGTCTAAATTACCTTCCGCTGACATGAGACATACTTCAAAAACACAGCTGGGAAATGAATTTCCTCTCTGGAGCCCCTTCCAACACCAACCCTTTGAAGACCTAATATCAGTCCTAAGTAATGGCGTTGCCCTGGTCCCAAGGCTGCAGGTTAAAAAGCATATTTTGGAGGAAGTGTGTGCCCTGCCCTGGGGGAAAGGGGCAGTTTGAATTACCTCGCACCAGCCCCTCTGGATTGCTAACAGACCTGCACGGCCAGGTTGCAGAGGATGTCCCTGCCCATGCCTGGGAGCACAGGGGTTTTGTGATGCTTGGTGAGAGGTGAACCCAGACATGGGAAAATCCCAGCAGGACTGGGAAGGTGTCCCCTGACCTCCCTAACAAAACAATAACTAAAATTCCTCTCCATGCTTCTGCCTGTGCATAGTGGTACAGTCCCAGAGAACTTAACCTCTGTACAAATTCACAAATGGTGGTGAGACTCAGGAGCACAGAGGTGACAGAACTGCAGGGTAAGATGTCCCTCCAAGGCAACAGCCGGTTAAAATAATCCCCACTATGCACCACCCTGAGAGAAAAACCAAGACTCATCCTGACAGGATGACTAGAGAGTTTGGTCGACTGCCCTCCAAAATCTTTAGCTCAGCACTCCAAATCCTCCCCACAAAGCCCTAACTGATGGTCCCTTTGCCAATGCACTTCCCATGCTGAAGGTTCATAAGAAATATCCATCTGTACTTGCTTGAACCTTAAAAGTAAAGCTCATTCCAGAAAAAGCCTCATTCCCTTATTTTCCAAGCTCCAGTACCCATTTACTTCTCTTCAGCTTCCTTCCAACAAACACCAGCATATTGTCCTATTTTACTTCACATCTCACCTTTGCCAGCAAATTTCTTCCTCCTTCTACCCTAGAAGTACCTTTCTCTTACCCACTGCCCAGCACACAACTCAAATGCTTCCTTAAATCAGAGATGGGTCTGAAGAATGAAGGTCAAATCCAGATGCTGCAATGCTTCTGAGCCATTTGGCTTTCCAGGCAGTCATTTGGGCCCATCTCTGCTTCCAATGCCCTGAACTACATGAAGAATTTGGCCTCTGGGCATTACAGGAATGCATATAATAATAAATCACAAAAGGCTCCAAGCACCATATACATGCCAGTGATCCCCTTTGCACCATTTAGTCTTGAAACAAGGAGTTTTATGCTCATATTAGCTTGTAAAGTGCCAAGCCCCCATTTGAGACTGTGTACATATCATTTTCCCATTCTGCACAGACACATGCCTTCAGCCAGCTCTCATCAGGGTGGGAGCAGGCGAGGGGGGACATAATCATGATATAATATGCAATAGCCTGATGATTACTAGTATTTCTTAATAAAAAAGCATATATTAAAAAAAAAAAACACACTAAAAAAACACAGCCCCCAGCTCATGATTTGAATAAGAGGGAGGGAAGAAGGTGTGGGGGGGAAATTGTCTTAATTAAAATTCTCCCTTTCATCCTGGTAATTACATTCAAACAGGAGACAGCAGCATTGCTGTTTGTCACTGTGCCAAAAAAAGAAATTGATTTGATCACCGGGACATCGTCTTGCATAAAATAAAATTCTTAAAAATCTGCCAGCATTTTTTTTTTTTTCCATAAACTGTAATTACTTCTAGAACACTGCAAGGAAGGGTGAAAACAGAGAGAAAAGGGAAGAGGAGGAGGAAGAAGGGGACCCAGTGGCAGATAATACGCCAGTAATGATGGAAACACCTGTAAGCCAGTGGAGATCTAGCAGCTATCAGCTCTGGCTGCATTCCATATCCATTAGCTACAAGAGGCTCCTTGGGCTCCAGGAAAGGAGGGTGTTAGCTCTGACAACTGGTGAAAAGCTGATGAAAACGTACCAAAGGGGTAGTCACGGTGCTGCCATTTGATAAAGAGGAAAAAAAAAAAAAAAAAAAAAGAGAGAGAGAGAGGAAAGGGAGAAGAGGAAAAAAAAAAGCCAGGAGTAAATCAGTCTAATTAATGGCTTTGCTCATTTATCAGGGGCAAATGCTAATTATTCTTTTTAATCACTTTTCTGCCACAGTTGCTCCTTCTCTCTGATTTTTTTTTTTCCCCTGCCAGCTCTGCTTAGTGAGTAAGTCTGGAGAAAAGCAATCCAAACCTCAGGCTTATAAACAAGGAAAGTACAAGAGAAAATGAAAGAATGGATAAAATCATTCCATGAAATCCTACCAGGCTTGTCTCCATCTGGAAACTCCCAGCACCCTTGCTGGTCTCGTACCTCCCATCATGACCTACAGGCTAAAAACCAAAATGAAGAGTAGTCCTTGACAGAGAGGCTGAAAGATCATGCAGACAGCTTTTAAAACCAACCCTCCAAACTCTGAACTCCTGCTCACATAAAGCATGTTTCTGTCTCTTATTATTCCTCAATACCTGCATGGACAGCTTTTGTTCATGCCAGTTTGTAGGAAGAAACTCTCTGCTGTTAACCCAAGAGCCCAAATGTGTGAGTATCAGTGTTTAACTTTCCCTTCTGTTGTTTTATCCACAGTGTGCAGGGCAGGGCTCTCATAAGCACTGAGTGATGATGTTTGCACATATCCAGATGCCTCAAGAGCTTGGCTTTGAGAAGGCAGCAAACACACCACCTTCTCAAGCCTCTTCAAGCTGGTTACCCAAAAAAGTAACTAATTGCCACCATAAATCTTGTCCTCATTCATCAAGTGGTGAGCAGACTCGGGGTTTGGTGACCAGATAGACCATAAACACAGAGACTAAATCTGAAACAAACCCACAGACTTAAAAAAATTCAGCAAAACCACCCAGCAAATTGTCAAAAGAAGTAAAACCAAAAGCCTACACGCAGAAGCAAAAGC